GAACTTTATGTTACTCTGTTTTCAATTTTTCTGTTTTTTTTTTTATATTTTTGAAAAAGTCATTTTTTCTGACCATGTGATATATCTTAATAAAGTTGATTTTTCTATCATGTTTATTGTTTTTTCTTCTTTTGCAATTTTCCATAAATGTAAACTGCGCTTCTTTATACACTGAGACTAAACGAAATTAAATAAAACAGAAAAGAAAAATTGTGGTTAAATAAAGCATGCGTACAGTAGTGTTACGGATTATCTAAATTAAAAGGTTATTGTCATTCTAAAGCTACTGATTGCAAAATTTAAATATTTGTCAGGAAACACGACCTGAGGAGTTATGAAATTACTAGGTATGATTTTGTAAGAATTATCCGTTCGGACGGATGACCTACTAAGATTGAGTTGCTTGCAAATTGTAACTCTCACTTACCCACATGTGGGTAATTCTCTAGAATCATCTTTTTCTTGTAAATAGGAACTGCTCTCAGTCTGAATGTCTCACTGAAGGTGTTATTTACTATTCAAAGTTTTTAGAAAATTGCCCACCATACGGAATGGCCATTCCACCACAGAAATTCTTACTCACGTTTCAGTTTCTCTCATCCCCATAAGTATGCAATGTGAAATGTATAAAAATTATTACTCTTTTATAAGTGTCTTCCACCCCCATAAGTATGCAATGTTAAATTTTTAAAATTATATTTCGTTGTCTTGAATTTTGAATAGATGTAATAGTTACTCTTCTACAAAATGCATTTCAGTACTACAAAAATTAAATCCATTATCGTCTCTTATTCTGTATTATTTTGTATGGATTCAAATCTCTTCGATTATTTAGGTTGGTAAATCTTCCGAATTTAAATATCTTATGACGCCGCACTGTATTTTGAATTTTTTGTTTGAATTCATTTTGCAAGAAAAACTTTAAGAAAGATTGATTTAATTCCTTAAAAATAAAGAAGCTATAAGGAGTAGGAGGATGATATACGAATAAAATTGTTGATTCTTCCTTTTGTACAAAAAAATTCTTAAGAATCTCTTTTGTTTTTTGTTTTTTTTTTGTGTGTATTTGACAGATCAATAGAATCGTTAAAATTGTTGCGTTTATCTTCTTCTTAAGATTTGTTGTTATTTTAAGTATGTTGCAAATTTAAAAATTTACAAATTTTGTAGGTGAATTCTCATGTACTAGAAAATTCGCTGAACAATTCGTTTTTTTTTTTTTTCAAAAAAAGTTTATTGTTTTTCATATTCTTATTTTATGTTTATTTTTTCTCCTAATTTTGAACTTTTAGACAGGTGATTTGATTGTTAAATTTATTATTAAATTCACCGTGTATGTTATTAGAGAAAATTGAACGTAAAGCTTCAAGGTAAATTTTTTTAACCATATTGTTTTTATATTTTCTTTGTTTTTCGCAAATGTTGATTTTGCGAACCTGTTCTTTATGTGCATTCATATACGTACATACCTTACATAATTATGTGTAAGTATTGTATGGTCAATATTAAATTCAGCGATGATTTTTTTTTACCATTTGATTAAAAATTTACATTTAAGTAGAGAAAAAGTTAGAAGAATGAAGTCTATTGGAAGAGATTTGAGAACATTTTTTTTTTTTTTTATAAAATGTGAATCAAATTATGGAAATTGATGGAAATTCAATGTAGGCAATTTGAAATGTGAACTGTGATTGAATTTGAAAAAATATAATTGATTTAAAAATGGAAAATATCGAGTCATTAAAGCAAACTATCCTAGATTTTTACAAAAGAACAAAGTAAAAATTGAATCATTTAAATGGTATTCACGCTTATTTGCAAACAGTTTACACTAATGTTGACTGTAATAATCACTTTTATTAAAATGTTCTTCCACCATATTGATCAATTATTTCAAAAATTAACTAAGGAAATTTTAAATAATTAGTAACATATTTGCAATGATTCCGAAATCTGCCACAAGTAGTTGAATTGGAAGCTCTCTGCACTCTTTCTTTTATTAGGTACTCGTATTAGGTGTCGATTTCTCTACCACACCAACTTTCTTACAACCAAGAGACAATACCCTGTCTCTTATACATTTTGCTAGAGAAACAATGGCTTTCTAAAGCAACAACTGCAATGTTTTGGCGGCTTCTGTTCAGTCATAGCAGACTTTAGATCTTGTTCCATGCTCCTTCAGCGTTAAATCTTTGATTGAATTATGTGCTCTGTGTACCAACTAAAAGTAGTTTTTTCTTTATTCTTTCTCCTTATCTATTCTCTCTTCCCTAAGCATTGGAAATATCATACATTTGTGATATAAATTTTCGTCCTCAGTTTAGCCAGCTCTTTAGATTTCTCATTACCTCAATGAAGACTTTAAACACAAATCCTTAATATTATGTTATAAAGTTTTAATGTTAAGAAAATTGCAAATTAATGTGTTCACTTATCGACTTACCGTTAAATTTACCGTTTTTAATTTAAATAATGGAGCCGAATATTTCCGATTTTCTAAAACTTCTTCAAGTAATATTTACTATAAAAATTTTATTGCATAATTCAATAATCTCCAAAGTACAACATTTTTCCCTTAATCATAGAAAATTTCCACTTTTTCTGTTTTCCGAACTTATAATCTCATCAAACTCTTTAAATGCAATTAATGCGAAATCACTACTTCAGAAGTTTTTAACATGAAGTACATTACATTCAGATGAAAGGAACGAAAATGTCCTATATAACAAGAAAGAAAAAAAAAACTGCGATATTCGATAACCGAGTATTGACTTTAGAAGTATTCTTTTATTTACTTAAAACTCATTTCATTAGGCGCACTGCACATTCTGACATCAACTAGAGAAAAAATACTAAAGTTTTTACAGACAAAAATTATACTAATGGCGGCATTAAGAACATCGAAAGAAAAAAGAAAGAAAATAATGTTGTAATCAGTGGAATGTCAAAGAATATCAAAGATCATAGCTTTAGTTTTCATGTTTTTTTTTTTCGAATCCTTTTCTACCACATAGTTCTTGTAAAATCCAATATACAATCAGTTCTTTTGCAATTTTTTTATACAATTTTAACCAAATAATTTACATATATTTCCATTTTAACTTTATTATACCTTTCACTAGCAAAATAAGTGCAAAAGAAAAATATTAAAGAATTTATTTCATGTAAGTAGTGTTATGGAACTTTCCTTTACTTGTAATATTTTTCGCTTGGTCATTTATATTAGAGCATAAAAATTTCCGTATATTTATTATACTTAATATATAGTGGGCATTCTTCCATTTAACGTAAAAATAAAGCAATCTTAAGTAAAAAAGTAAAGAATTATCACGGCGAAAATAAACAAAATTCACTACGATTATGAATAAAGAGCAGTGTATAAGCTATGTAATACCTTAAACACGAGTAGAGCACCAAAAACTATGAATATATGTACATATATACAAATAACCATTTTATTGATAATACTCAATAAATGAACCCTATAAAAGTTACATAAACAAAGCAAGAAATCTATAGGTCTCGAACAACTCTGAACAACACCATCACATCGCGTCATTACTCATTTGCTATTACAACACCTTTTAATAAAAAAACGTTGCCAGAATAAAGCATCTAATATTAAATAGTAAATACAACCTGCGTAAATTTAATTTGAGAATAAACCCATTAAAGAGCCCTTTGCAGTCACCCTCCGCTGACCGTATTCAACTTGCTCGCTTTTGGAGGTCATTTAGAATGGCCGCTATTCTAGTAGACGCATTACGTAGAATGCAAATAATTTATTCACACGACATTCTTTGCACCTTTTCTATTTTCCTTTGCACTTTACGCTGCCACACCAGAACATTGTCTGTCACTAGACCAGCGTCCTATATGTCAAAATAGATATATACGTAGAACCAATAATCAAATAGCATCTCAATGCTTCATGACTATGGCCAAGTTATGCGTCTTTCTAGGTCTGCACAAATTCATCCTTGCGTAATTGATAAAAAAAAACAACCACCAGCCGTTTTATTAATTCATCCAAGTCAAACCTGCATTCATATACTTCTCCAGCAGCCTTTCCATGGTCTTCAGCACAAATAAACGGCAACTAATTGTTCGGAAATCTCTTGAACTAAGTTCACCAACACAACTCAAAAGTTCGTTACAAAAAATCATCCCGACTTATCTCCATTCTTTGCGCATGTAACCCATGTACAGACAACTGTGGAAGATTACCACTAACCTTTGTCGTCGCTTGAAACAAAATCAACTGTATTAACTCTGGTCTTGGACATATTCCATTAAAATATATATAAAAAGGTTGGCCACACCAATTTTAAATCTTTATATAAAATATTCTCAATTTAAAAGGTAGTCCAAATGCAAAATTTGTTGGTATAAATTTAACAACGATTTATATTGATATTGAAATACGCCGTTTCAATAAAACAAGCAAACAAAATTTAATAAAAATAAAACTTTTTACAGGTAGGTTTAATAAGAAACCCTGAATGCATTTTCATGGTCACAAAATTTTTTAAAATTTTATTTTTCTTTTTATTCTGTTTTTAGTATAGCACATAGTTTCTAAGCGATAATATGTGCGATTTATTGGTAAAATTTTACAAATTCAATTACAATGGAATTTAGCGGCATAGATTATACGATATCACCTTTATATAGCATTACACAAAACTTTATATTCGCGGTTATAAAATAAAATTGTTTTTTTTTTTTTTGTTGTAAAATTCATAAGTGTATAAGTGAGACGGAAAATAAAAATTAAATTGAATAGGTGATTTTGTATACAAGAAGAACACATAGATTGGAGGAGGGGGAGTATCATTATTATAAGGTGATAAATAAGATGCATTACAATTTTTATATTGTTTCTTAAATAAATAAGAATAAAAATGTATAGGAATACTATGCGATAGAAAAGTACAAAAACAAAAAAAAAGAAATTTTGTATTTAAAATAAATTAGAAAAAATAAAAATATAGGCACACCTTTAAATACAGTAAAGGATCATCATCATTACATTCAACGCTATTATCATCATCCATTTTCATTATTAAAACATTATTTAATTCTTTTCCATAAATAACTACGATTATATTATGCTTTGAGGGCATTTCAATACTATAAGAAAATCCATGAAATTTTCTTCATCAATTGAAACTGAAAATCTTTGAAATTGATTTTAAATTGAAACTAAATTTTAATGGAGTTTGTATTTTAAGAATCTTGTGAGATATAAGCAATTATAATATGATTTTAATACATGAGTTTAATTGGTAAGAAGTTCCTAATTCTTAAACGATTATAATTTGATTTTTAAAATCTTATATTTAAATTTAGAATTGATTTAAAGTGATTTTCTCTTGGTTGACAGTACGGCGCTCTGTTAGCGACATTCATTCAAAAACTTAATTCAAAAGATTTATGGAATTGAAAACAGCATTTATTTTGAGCTCAGTTTGAAGTAAAATTACAAATTCTCAGGTACAATTTCATGTTCAGAATAAAATGATCGGAACGTGACTTTTTCAGAAATCATCGCAAATATAATACAGGTATTACCCTAGAAGTATGCAATTTTTAAAAAATATTTAAATTTTTCAAAATTTTGAAAAATCTTTAAAATTATTTTAATAATGTTATAAGGTGTTTGTGATGTAATCTATGGCTATCGTAATTTGAATTACGGACATTACAACCATATTCATGGACATTTCCTATAATTTTCTTTCTTTATTATAAACGTAACACTGAAAGCAACATACAAATAAAGGTCTGTGAAATAAAAATTTTCTTTTTTTTTTTCAAAAATTTAAAAAGGATCAATAATGGTAATGAAAATAAATAAATAAAAAAAAATAATAGAAATTTTACTATTTTTTTTTTGTTATACAAAATCGGTAATAACCAAAAAAATTACAATAAACAAACAAACAACACTAACGAAAACAAAAAAAAAATAGAAACAAATCAAGCAAACGATCTTCACTCTAAAAATAGTGTATCACAGGTTAAATGTGAGGCTACCATTTTATTTTTTTATTTTTTGCTTGCTTTTCTCATTGTAATTTTAACCCGTGAACATTCAAATTTTACCCATTAAAGTCGATAAATTTTTTGCATTGTATTAAAATTCACCTATATGTGAAAAGTGGAAAATGAAAAAAACAAAAACGCGATAATAGAAAATATTTTTTTTTTTTGTTTTGTTCTTACTTATATTTATTGTTTTACCTGTTAAAACACCTTGCACAAAATAAATGTGCTTAATATTAAATAAAATTTTACAAAACGCTTAAAAGTGCATATCGGAAAAAATAGTTAAAAGAGGCAGAAATTACAAAAAAAAAATTGGAAAAAAAAGTGAGTTGACCATGTCAACTCTGTAATTCCCGTGCGAGTTATGAATATCTCAGAGTTGACTATGGGACAGACTATGACTTTAAGTTGCTGTATTACTATATTAATTTATGCAAAATTTCAGTACTTTTCAATAGTTTCTAAAATATGGCCAAACTACTATTGAAATTGTACGGCAGCTACCACAAGAAGCGAAGAAATTTCTTTAAAACACATTGAGCCTACTAATATATTTCTTTGTATGAAATTTCAATATCACAGCAGTTACAGTTTCTGACATATAGCCAAATAAATTTGTATATAATAAAGTACCACGATCATAACCAATTTAAATGGGATTCTGGTACTATAATAAATCATAAGTGAAAATTTGGCGAACTTAGCTCAATTAATTTTTGAATTACCATTGGTACGGATGGAAGGACAGGCAAAGCTACGACGCTGATCAAAAATATATACTACAGAGTCTATATCTCAGACCATTATTTCTTAGCGTTACAAACGGTAAGGCAAATTTAGTATACCCTTCGAATATACGTTTGTATGGGCATAAAAAAAATGCTATAAACCAAAATAGAGATATGAGAATTTTTTTACCTTTTCATTTCTTATTTTTTTGTTGTTTTCATCTTCCTTACCAAGTTAATTCACAAGAATATTATTATAGTACTACATATATACACATTATGTAGCAGAATAGTTTTAATAATAATAGTTTATTTTATAACATTGTGTCGGCTTTTTACATTACAATTACAGGATTTTTTTTTTTTTTTTAATGGATACAGTAAAGTGCATTTTCCAATGAAAGATTACCTTACAAGATGTTTTGACAAGTCAACATAAAAGCGGTAATATATACTATATACATGATGACTACAATATGATGATGGTAATGGTAATAATAGTAATGATAATGATGATGGTCGTCGGTATATATGGGCACAAATATATAGTAACTGCATCAGCAACAGCAGCAGTTTTTATTTCAAGTATATTTCACAAAGCATTTTACATATTTAGCAATAACATTTATGTTCATAAAGTAATATACCGTATAATGTGTACTTACAGTTTTGTATTTATAGTTAATATTGTATTGCAGTTATAGTGACGATGGCGGCAAATTTTCTTAAATTAAAAAAACAAAAAATCGAACATTTTAACTTAAGTGTTCTATGTTATGTTTTCTACTAAGTATTTATTATTATTTTTTTTTTTTTAAATTAATTTTAACTATATGTTAACTTTGTTTAAATTGATTAGAATTAGTTCGGTACAATACCAAATATTGTTTAAGAAAACTAAAGAAAATTAAAGGAAAAGCAAAAAATTAGCGTCTATATAGAAGAGAAAATAAGAAATGAAAAAGCAGAAAAATCTGATATCCTCGTTATAGACTATTCGAAATTTTGTTACACAAAAATGCCGGTAAGCTTTAAGAAAATTAAAAAAAAAAAAAAAAACCTAAACTCAAGAGTTTTTCTCTTAATTTGAAAGTGATGTACTTGGACAATTTTAGAAAGAATGAAAAAAAAAAAAAATCGAAAAGAATTTAACAATACTTTTATCTACATGTTTGAATTAAATAGTTTTTTTTTTTTTTTTTTTTTTTTTTTGAAAAATTATTGAGAAGTTTTTATAAGCTGCAATAAACAATATTGCAAATTTTTATTTTATTTAGTTTTTTTTTCAGTTTTACTTCTTTGCATATAAATAGAAATTACAAAAAGAGTAAAAGAAATTTTAAAAATTTTCCCAGGAAATTCAGATTTTTTGACTTATATAAGATGAATTTTTCATGTATATTCTTAAATGAAAATGTTAAAAGCCGGCAAAAAGAATGTTTGTACAAAATCAAATGGAAATTGTTTCTCCAAAAAAACAAAAAAAAAAAAAATTTTTGTATAAAATTTATTCCTTTAGTAGAAATTGACCTTTTTATAACTGTTATACTATGGAAAATAAAATAAGTTCAAGTTCTCATTAAATGAATATAACAATTAATTTTAATAATGTTTTAAAAATTGTATACAAATTTCTTATTTAGAACTTGTATACATTAAAAATATACAAGTATCCCGATAATGTTCTAGTATTCTTCTTATTGTATTCGGAAATTATAATTATATATTAGACGATTGGTTAGTATACAAGCATCTAGTATAACAAAATAAACATCACTTAGCTAACAAACGTGTATATCAGTAACTATAAATAAAATCGTCACCATTTATAGATGGAAAGGGAAGGAAAAGTGAAAAAGAGAGAAAAGGATAATATTAGTAATAAAAATTTAAGATTAATAGGTAAATTAAGAAATAAACAGCCGAACTCAAATTTATACAACTAATGTGAGGTGAGTCAATAGAAAGTGTCACACAAATTGAGAATAAATTAAATAAAGTCAATGCTACCACCAAGTCTGGTCTTAAGCACCCTCTTACTTACGTATATACAAAAAACAAACGAATACAATTTAACTTCTCGCAGCATACGCGTCACCGGTTCATGCATCCCATAGTCAGTGCTATGACGCGGTTCATCGAAAAGGTCGACTGACCTCATGTTACTGAGATGCTCTCTTCAACAAATTCGGCCCATTAAAACCGGGACAATCCCGAAAATTACTTCGTCAACATGAATTTTTTTGAATTTTCACATATTATTTTAAACTATTATGTAGCAACTTGATTTTTATTGAATATATATTGACTGTTATTAAGTATACGCTAAAAAAGTGGCGGACGGTTTAGCATACATTTAGCTGTAAATTAAAATCATATAAACACTGACATTACAATCGAATAGAAATGTCAGTTTCTATAAAATTCCGCCCGAGTTTTAAATCGAAGAGCAAAAGTTTTTATTATCTAGAACCTTTATTTTGTTTTAGTTTTTATATTAATCAGTGAATATACTTTTCTGGTGTAATTATTTTATACAGCTTCTACCATAGTTAGGTCAATAACATATTAACTTATTTAATATACTGAATATAGAAGAGCTGAAGATGTCTCACGAATGTAATCATAAAATGCTTTGCATTTCTTCGATGTTACCTTCTACAATTAAGGGCAGTATTCGATAAATTCATTCAAAAATATTCATAAAGAATAGTAATGGACAATTTGAGTTTTGCCAAAGGGAAAATGATTTTCAATTATTAATTACTGATTATGGAATCAATTCATTTGAAATTTTTTAAACCATTCTATTTTACATAAAATCCTATGACGAATATTAGAAAACTTCGATATAGAAACTAAATTTTAAAAATTTCCAATAAGCTCATTTAAATCTGAATGAAATTAAATTAAAATTTTTTGTTGTTCCATTTTTCGCAATTCATTCAAAATTTTGCAAGAAACGGATCTGTACATTTCCTTACATCATTGTCATACAATACAAAATAATATTATCAATAATATGGCTGCCATATTTACGCAAAAACACAAAAAAAAAAAAAGAAAATTTTGCATAAAAATTACTTTTATTAATGCAGTCATAATTATTCTTTTATTATGGTAATAATGCTTACCTATAATCATTATTATCAACGCCATTAATGTTAAAATAAAAGTCGAACACTTGATTTAGTACTTTAATTAATTTTTTTAAGCTTTTCCTTTTTATGCCACCTATCAGTTAAAGTTGTACATTCATTCAAACATACTTGTATTTTTAGTAATTGCAGCTTCAATTTCGATAATCTGCTTTAACCTTATTGTTTATGTCATATTGTTATCTTATGAATATAAAAAAAAAAAAAAAACTAATAATAAAAACTATTAAAGTCCAATAAATTTCAATAAAATTTTAAAAGATATTTTGTCTCGATTATAATTTTCTCCATATACCAACTTTCTTATGTCTCCAATTTCCAAGAGTGTTGTTTTTGGCCCACCCAAAGCCATTTTTCATTAGGTTTTCCCCCCAAACAAAAAAAAATGTAAGAAAAGAAAAAAAAATTAAAATTTAAACTAAAATGAAATTTTAATATTTTTTTTTTTTCGATTTCATTTAAAAAAAAAAAAAAAGAATTAAAATATATTTCTCACATTAAAAAAAGTTATCAAAATATTTTTTTCTTTTCCTTTTTAAAATATAAAAATAATATGGCGTTAGTATGTATATGGTATGTGTATATATGTAAATTTATAAACAAAATTTTATTTCATGTAATTGGAAATCAATATTAGC